TTAGCTAAAACACCTGATCCGAACCAGTCATAAAAAGCATGAGATATGGAAAAGGTATATTTTCTATTAAAAGTGGTCTTAAATAAACCTAATCTACCCTTATTCAAATCAAACTGAAAGCCTATATTATTGCGCCTAACAAGAAGCAAATGATAGATTTTAAATTTAATAAACTAAAAATTAAAAGGTCGGTTGGTTATTTCGAATATTGCCTAAAGTCGACCTATTAAAAATCAGGTTGCATAAGGTCTAGTTATAATAAGTTATTTTCATGACATTTTATGTACATTTACTAAACTTTTAATTGATAATTGAGTATTAATAACTAATATCATGTTCATAATCACTGTCATGCTTCGACTTCGGCTGACTATGCTGAGGAGATCTAGGCGAGATCATCAACTTTGATCCACCCTGAATGAGATGACCTTTTATGAATCAAGGTTGTGTGAAATCCTATGCTAACCTTGGGCCGGCTTACAACATTGATGCAAAATTTAGCTACCAGTTCTTCATCATCTTAACGAGATAGGGTTCATACGCCTTTCCTATATGTTCTCATAAGGCAGATGTTCCAACATATAAAAAAACTCAGGTTAAACTGACAATCTTGGGCAAATCAAAAATCTTCAACATGTTGCATGCTTCGAGCTGGCCGTTTGACTCGAAACCTGTGCAGAGGTTTCAAGCCAAACCGATTCTATTTTGAATAAGGAGAAATAGAGTTTAACATTTTGCGAATTATACAGTGAGTATAACATCTCAATATATTAATGTAAAGAAATTATGCATCAGAATGCCTCATCTCTTGCTAGAACGAGGGTAGGCCATAGTTACTCGACTTTCTGCTTTACTGCTGTGTGTATTTCGAAGGAAAAAGCTGGTATGAAAAACGCCCAGAATACTTAAAAGTACTCATAATGTCGAGGAAGGATATTTTTTAGAAAATCTTTGTAAATACCCTTTAGCATACCTCGCAGTTCACAGATTCGGCCAAACTGTCGGGCCTCCATTTGCAGCATTACACGCTTGTCCTGAGCTCGAGAGCGCTGTCGCTGCGGCAGACCGATTGACGGCAGATGAACAAAGACACGCTGGCCCACCGTCACCTCGGCCCATCGTTTTCCGATCTCCTAATAGCTCGAAAATGGGACAAGTTTCATAAATAACCATAACATATATACGTACATATGTATGCTAAATTAAAGCCAATCTTCATAGTTTTCACTCCAGTTAATTCATTGAAAGTACGAAGAATAGCATACTTTTGCCACATCGCCAGGCTGCTACGGGGGCCAGACCAACCAGGCCTTTGTCAGACCGCAGCGCATGGTGAGGCTGACGATGAAGCAAAATGTATTCACCTCATTTAAAATCTATTCATATTCGTGCAACTTAATAATTAACTATGATTGAAGGGACAACATACAAATTGGTCTCATTCAAATTGCCGCCATAAAAGTGTGGATTGGAAGGTGCGTGAAGTGGCAATATGTTGTGATTATGCGCTGCATCAAACTTCGATTCGAGTCTTCCTGAGGTTTGACCAGTCAAGTGTAGTCTGGAAGAAAATACCTTTTGGGAGGTACGGCTTAGCGATATTCTGTGGCATCATTATGCATAGTGCCATTTAGTCATTGCTTTCTGTAGCCTATGGTGACTACTGCTCTTGTTCGAGTAGAATGTAAGTTAGTGCCTCGAGAGGAAGGGAAATCTCATTAGAAATAAGAATTTAAAATTATAATATTCTTTTCCTGTTGACAGACAGTGAAAATGGTTATGCAGGAAAGGACTTAGGACCTTCATTTCACACCTTTCAACTCTACCAAACAGACTTACATAGCCCATGCAAGTTATTCATTACACTAACCAAACAAGTTAGTTTTGGTACCAGCAGTAGGCCCTGACCATTGTCAGGCTGACGGTTGAAATCGGCAGGCCTCATGATGCCATTGAACTGTATTGAATCTTGCAGATTCATATTAGCCTGTTGCTTTTAAGGACTGCCGAAACCATTGCAGTTCCTCTATTGCCACTTCACACTAGATCATACCTTGCAGGAGAAAGCTTTTTTATTACTTGTAAGTAATATGAGATGTAGCCGAGTGGTTAGCGTGTCAAGCTCACATCCTGCATCGTCGCGGTTTGACTCCCGCTGAGGGTGTTGATAAGACCAGTTGATGCGAGGTCGAAACTGCAGTCAACTCCAGCCGGAATAAGAACAACTTTTGGGAAAGCAAGGCTATGTGAAATTCAATGAAAATGTCAGCTAAACTCATATCATTGTGGGAAAATTCTACTACCAGTCCTTCATCAGCTTAGACGAAATATGGTGAATACATCTGATATTAATGATTTACTGATAGTCTCTAAACTCTACTCTAATACTTGTAAGTAGTATGTAACCCACTAAACTGTTGGACTATCGTTTGGCAACACTTAAAAATTTGCCCCTTTTCTACTTATTTTTCGTTTGCAAATAGGGTTTCGAGACTACCAGTAAATCAGTTACCTGAGCTATATTCACCCTACTTCGATTAAAATGATGAAGGACTGGTAGTTGAATTTTCCCAAAATGATATGAGTAGAGCATTTCGCATAGAATTGCTTTCTCAAAAGGACTTCTAAACTGTGGTAAGGGCTAGGCGAGGTCGAGACTGCAGTCCACGCTGGAAGAGCACAATCGTTGGGG